TGAATATAAAATTTAAATTTGATAGCCTATGTGGCACTTGGACATATTTTAATGTTTCGCTCTTCCTCCGATTTGTCAATTAAACTATTATTTTGTTACATTATTTTCTTTTCTTAATTTCTGTTTTATATTTTAAATCTTACGTACATAAATAATGCATGATAAAAAGTCACATTAATTGCATTGAAACCCAACAAAAATTTTACATATAGAAATAATTCATGATAAAAATTCTTAATAATTAATGACAAATAACTCAACAAAATAGTTCACTGTATGAAGTTTTAAAAGCACTTTATGTTAATTGAAAGGAATATCGTTGATTAAACAGAAAGAGGCAGTATACAAACAAAAAGAGGCATGCGTTGATTAAATTGAAAGGAATCGTGTATTTAAAAAAAAGAAAGAGGCAGTATACAAACAGATTGCACCGTCCAACAATAACATTTATTATAATAAATGACTAAACTGTTGCAATACTATTTATTATATCTGAGATATTCTTAGTAGATTCTATCATATCTATTAGACTATATATTATCCTATTAAAGTTGTATTGGGGTAAGGAATTTACTTTTCCTACTACTATAAATAAAGGCATAATGAGGTGGAACTAATACACACCTCACAATTACACATATTTCTCTTCTCTATCTGTCGCCGACCAACCCCCAAAAAAAGCACGATTAGGCCGAGTCATAGTGAAAGTAGAATGATTAAGCGATCAGACTTAGATGTCGCCTGATGGAGTCATGGTTTAATTAAAATTATTAGACCATTTTTAAAGGAGATGAGAAATTTTGAACATAAAATTTAAATTTGATAGCCTATGTGGCATTTGAACATATTTTAATGTTTCGCTCTCGACCCGATATGTTAATTAAATTATTATTTTATTACATTATTTTCTTTTCTTAATTTCTGTTTTATATTTTAAATCTTACGCACATTAATAATTCATGATAAAAAGTCATATTAATTTGAAACCCAACAAAAATTTTACATATAGAAATATTTCATGACAAATAACTGAACAAAATAGTTCATTGTATGAAGTTTTAAAAGCACTTTATGTTAATTGAAAGGAATATCATTGATTAAATTGAAAGCGGCAATATACAAACAGAAAGAGGCATGCATTGATTAAATTGAAAGGAATTGTGTATTTAAAAAAAAAGATGGGGCATTTAGATCCGAGTCCAAAAAATTGAGCTACTTTCCAATTGAGTCCAATTTCATGTGCCTTATCAGTTTAGGTTCAACTGATCATTTTTATGTCTATTTTACCCTTTTATAATCTAAATGAAAATATATTTAAATTTCTTGATTTATCCAAATTTTGAATCATTAAAGCCTTTAATCTATTCAATATCCAAGGAAAAAAATTAAAATTAAAATTCATGGCATGTTTATCAACAACAAAATCTACTGTGATATACATTCTTGATAAAAGTAGATTACAAAAAGAAAAAAACCTATGATATAGGTACATAAATACAAAATATGTCATGAACATATATTTAAATAATATCTAATCAAACTGGTGTAGGTAGATAATGCAACTAATCTATGTTGCATGTAGGCAATGCAATCAATCTGCGATGCAGGTAGTTAATTTTGTAGACATCAAAATTTCGGTGAAATGAATGTTGACCAATAATTAAAATTTCAACTCTCACGTGTCACATAAATTTTACATGTAGCGTGTGACTCAACGAAAAATCGAAATAAATTGGAAAAGTCATCAAATAGGACACGTGTCAATACCTGGCAGAAATGATTTATTTCATCTGATTATTTAAATCCAAAAATCAAGTTTTGGAATTCTATAAATAGGAAGCCAAGACATTCATTTTGAAAAAGAAGAAAGGAAGAGAAATTTACATTACACCAAAACCTTGAAGCCTTGAAACTCTAAAGCTCTCAAACAAATCCCGAAGGATCAAGAAAGCACTTTTCGTTCTTCGTCAAATCCTCCTTCAAGATCAAGCCCCAACGGCCCTTGAAGAACTCCCACCAACTCAAGATCAAGCCCCGACGGCCCCTTGAAGAAAGTGTTCATCATTCATCATCCGTTCATCCTAAGATCAAGCCCCAACGGCCCTTTGGATCAACAACCTCAACAAACTCATACACCCATTCTTCAAGATCAAGCCCAACGCCCCTTGAAGATCCATTCATCAACTGTTCATCCTTAGATCAAGCCCCGACGGCCCTTTGGATCAACAACTCATCCACAAACCTACACCTTACGAAGATAGAATCAGAGGATCAAATTACAAAGAGATTGTAACCCCAAAATCATTAATACAAAAATATATTTTGTACACGTATTCTTGTTTCTTGTTTCAGGAATTTTTCGTGTTTACAAATTTGGCACGCCCGGTGGGATAATCTCTACCTCTCATCTCTATCCTCAAATCATCGAAAAACGCAAATGGCATCAAGAAATGATCAAGCTGTTCCTGCAATCAAAGCAAAGAACAAGAACACTGCATTAACTTTGTCAAAGGAACAAGAGCACCTGAGGTACGAGCCTGTGATCACCCTAGCCTCGCTAAGGGCATCAAGGGGGGAAAGCCCGAGGAAATACTCAGAGTCCCTACTCTCCGACGCTGATTCGAGCGGCAGTACAACCATGCAAGTCCTGACCACTGGAGCAACTTCAATCGAGGAGCAGCTAGCTTAGATGAATGAAGCAATCGCAAAGCTCACACGGACTGTGGAAGAGAAGGACTTGCAGATTGCCGCACTTGTCAACCAACTAGATGCGCTACCCGACGTGAAAGTCGACCCAAATGTTGGCCTATTAGAGAAAGAAGTCGACGAAGAAGAGGAGCCACCAGCGGAGAAAGTTGAAGAGAAGCCGAAGCTAGACCAAGCAACAGCATTCATGGGATCTCTCTCTATCCAGCAGCTACAGGAAATGATCGCAAGCACTATCAAGACACAGTACAAAGGAAGCTCGCATGACTCCGTGCTGTACTCAAAGCCTTACTCCAAGAAGATTGATGCTTTGAAGATGCCAAGGGGTTATCAGCCCTCAAAATTCATGCAGTTCGATGGAAAAGGAAACCCGAAGCAACATGTCGCCCATTTCATTGAAACTTGCAACAATGCTAGGACAGAGGGAGACTACCTCGTCAAACAGTTCGTGCGTTCGCTGAAAAGTAACGCTTTGACTGGTACACTGACCTCGAACCTGAGTCTATCAACAGTTGGAACCAGCTAGAAAGGGAATTCCTCAACCGTTTCTACAGCACTTGTCGTACTGTAAGCATGCTAGAGCTGACCAGTACGAAACAGTGGAAAAATGAACCTGTCGTCGACTACATAAATAGATGGCGTTCTTTAAGTCTGGATTGCAAAGATCGGCTTTCTGAAACCTCTGCCATTGAGATGTGTGTTCAAGGCATGCAGTGGGGACTACACTACATCCTTCAAGGCATCAAACCACGAACATTTGAGGAGTTAGCCACCCGCACCCATGATATGGAGTTAAGCATCACCCGTCATGGGAAGAAAGAACAGATCGCCGACTACAAGAATGACAAAGTTTTGGGGCCAAATGTGGATAAGGCTACGTGGAAACCCACCAAGGAAGCAATGACGGTCAACACAACTCCAGTCAAAATCCACACACGAAGCAAGGCGATTCAAACCGAAACTTTTTGTGATCAAGAGATACATAGACGCACTTTGAAGGAGCTTGAGGAGAAGACTTATCCATTCCCCGACTCTGACGTGGTTGCCATGTTGAAAGACTTGCTTGACAAAAAGGTGATCGACCTACCTGAGTGCAAACGGCCAGAAGATATGAACCGTACTGACAGTCCAAGGTACTGTAAATTCCACCGCTTCATTAGTCATCCGACGGAAAAGTGCTTTGTGCTAAAAGATCTCATCATGAAGTTGGCTCAGAAAGGGATCATCGAGCTAGATCTTAATGATGTGGTGAAGTCAAACTATACCACCGTCACTTCTGGCTCTTTGAACTCAAAATCTTCACCTCAATCGCTGGGGGCATGCTCCAAAACCATGTCAGTCAAGTCAAATGAAGTTGAAGGATGGACTTATGTCACTCCAAAGAAAATGCACAAGAAACATAGGTCTCCTCCACAAGTTCACCAATCGCAAAGGGGGCAAAGCAGCTACCGTCAACCTTCAAAGCTACATGAAAGTGTTGAGGATGATGAAGTTATGACACAAAGATTGTCCGTTGCCATCACGATGCGCGATTTCTTCCCCAAAGACTTCTTCAATCACTCAGTCAATACTCCTTGCTATAAAGATTGCAAGGAATGCCTCACTAAGATCGTTTGACAAATTCAAAACGCTCCTTGCCTGCACGAGCTAAAACTGCAAACGGCACCAAACGCTCCTCGCTTGCACGAGCCTAAAAGGCGACAACAAACGCGCCTTGCCTACACGAGCTGAAACTGCAAACGGCACCAAACGCTCATTGCCTGCACGAGCTGAAACTGCAAACGGCACCAAACACTCCTCGCTTGCACGAGCCTAAAAGGCGACAACAAATGCCCCTTGCCTGCACGAGCTGAAACTGCAAACGGCACCAAACGCTCCTCGCTTGCACGAGCCTAAAAGGCGACAACAAACGCTCCTTGTCTGCATGAGCTGAAACTGCAAACGGCACCAAACGCTCCTTGCCTGCACGAGCTGAAACTGCAAACGGCACCAAACGCTCCTGGCCCGCAAGAGCATAAACTATGTACGGCAAAATCATCATCAAAACCATCACTCATTTGAACTACGTTATGACTTGATCTCTTCTTTGGAAGAGTACGTAGGCAACTTGAAACTTCAAAACTTCAAGTACAGTCACATCAAAATAAATAAATAAATGTTTCATTAAAGAAAGTCAATTTTATTACAAAAGAAAAGAAAAAAAAAATACATATGTTACTATGTATTAGAAAAAAAAATATATATATTCTCTACTCAAAAATATAAAATAAAAAAATAAAATAAAAAATAAAAAATAAAAAAATTATACATGTTAAAGTGGGTTTGCCTACACTTAAGACCCATGCCAACTCAAAGTAACAGAAGTTGAAGTCCACAAAAAGGAGCAGCCCAAATCCAGGCCCAGTGCCATCATCATCCCCAGCTCGCTCGAGCAGCCGGATTCCACTAGCCCAAATCCAGGCCCAGCTCTTTCTCTCTCTCTCTCTAATTTGTGGTCGAGTCATTCACCGAGTCATAGAGCTATTCCGCCATGAAAGAAGACCAAGACTAATACCGAGAAGCCGCTACCGGCGAAAAGCGAAAGCTGGAAGACAGCAGCATCAGCATCCTACTGGCCAAGCAGAAAGCTCAGGAAATTGCTGCCTGACTTGTTAGCGACGCCGAGTCAAAGCGTCCTCGAGTGGAGGTGGAAACATGCACCACCAATTCACATCGACCCCACAAACCTGGTCCTTGAGCTTGCTCATTCCTCTTATCCACAATTGGAGACGTTTGCCGTCTTCTCTGTCTTTGCCGCTGTCAACTCCTCCCGCGGAGTGTTCCTTCTTCATCTCCACCGATGGAGACATTTGCAGCACTACAAGAAAAAAAAAAACACAACGGAGATCTCACCAAAACGCAGCAGCAAATCTCCTTCCCACAGCTTCCTGCAGCCTCTTGGGTGTCTAAAGAAGTTTTCGACATCTCTCTTTCTCTCTTCAGAGATGCAACGGAGAAGAAACCATCATCCTCCATGTTTGAACAAGTGGAGAAGAAGAACCCATCGTGCCCAGCGATGGTCTCGAAACCCGCCGATGATGCAAGGACGGTTTCGAACAAAACAACAGCAGTGACGGACGAACAAGCAGCAGCCTTTCCTTCTTTGCATAACGCTGCAGCAACCGCCGACGTCAGGCAGAAGCCCAAACAGAGACAGCAGCTACGCCATGTCTTTGCCGTCATCAACACCCTGCAACTTGTGATGTCCAACGAAGATTTCACCAAAACACAGCAGCAAACCGTCTTCCCACAGCTTCCTGTAGCCTCTTGGGTGTCTAAAGAAGTTTTCGACATCTCTCTTTCTCTTTTCAGAGATGCAATGGAGAAGAAGCCATCACTCTGCACGTTTGAACAAGTAGGGAAGAGGAACCCAACATGCCCAGCTATGGTCCCAAACTTCTGTCGGTCGACGGGCCATGGTCGTCTTCAAAAGCTTTTTGGTGTTCTTCATTGAGACAGAAACCCGAAGAAAGCCCAGCCAAAGAAGAATGGGCGCTAGTGGTTGCTGACCAAGTTTCATTCGAATTCCAGTTTAAATTAGGAATTGGAAAAAAAAAAAAAAAGCTCCAACAAACAAAGATGATTCGTGATGTTAGTCGAAGACCCTTCTGCCGCATCTCAGCCTGCAGCATATGGACAAGGATTTCTGATCCACTAGCGACAAATCCACCAAACCCCGAGCCGTCTCCGTCTTCGTTGAGCTCTTCGTCCATGCTCTCCATTCTACCCATCTACCCCAGTAAGATCTTCATGTTGTTGTATGGGCAGTTTGTCTCTCTCTAAGGTTGAGCAGCGCGCCCTTCTCCCTTCGATCATTGACCTTCTCACGGCTGTGCTCCATCTTCAAGCTCTTCGAACTCCGCTGCTTCAGCTCTCCAAACTCCATAGTCGCAGCAACAGCATCCACTAACTACCTCAAGCTCCTCACTCCGGCCACCGTGGTCAAAATCGGCGAAGAACTTTAGTGACCGCTGTCAAACGACTAGCCGATCGTGAAGCTCGACGCTTTGCACTACTTCAAGCTCTGGCTGCTTCTGCACTTCCGCCATGGTCGCTACCTGTGAATGTGATTAACAAAACCAAAGTTTGTCAACTCACATCTGCTTGCCTCTGCTGCTGCCTTTGAATGTGATTGACAAAACCAAAGTTTGTCAACTCACACCCAAAGACTTTCTCCGTCTCTTACCTCCTACTACTCCAAGCTCCTCTGCATTTCCTCCCTGCACCATGTGGGGAATATATATATAAAAAAAATTATTATTAAAAGAAAAAAAAAAAAGGACACGCCAGTCTGGAAAGAAGAAGAAATGGTGGAATCTTGGTGGATCAGCGCCACCGAAAGCAAAGAAAAGAAAAAAATAATAATAAAATAAAATAAAAGGGAATGATGGTGGAGAGGTAGCAATGATGATGTTGAAAAAAAAATAATAAAATAAAATAAAAGGGAATGATGATGTTGGGAAGCAATGATGAAGGTAAAGAATAAAAAAAATAATAAAATAAAAGAAAAGGGAATGATGATGGACGGCATCAAGTGAAAAAAAAAAAAAAAAAAAAAAACACATCTTGGTGATGTATATGTTTTATCTGTATTTAGCACAATACACTGAATAAAATAAAGCATGTCCATTAATCTCCGAGAAATTACAAGTGTATACAAAAAAAAAAAAAAAAAAAAAGATGGAGCTTTCACAAAGGTTGTTCACGTGAAGGCCCACTACTTGGCAAAACTCCAAGAGCGGGAGGCATCGAAGATAGATCATTCGAGACCTCAATACTTGGTGGAACGCTAGATGACGCAGGAAAAAGGTGCGGAAGAAAGGCGCAAGCCTGTGACGGTCACTTTGAATTCGACCTTCAGATTCTTGCAGCTCATCAAGCTTCCTCTTCATGCTCGTCGAATAATTATTTGCAAGCACGTGCAAACCTCTATTCTCGCGCTTAAGCTGTTGGATCTCTTGTTTAAGATTTTCCACCTCCGCCATCAATGATTCAACTTGACGGGATCGAGCAAGTAGGCGTTGGCCCATGTTGGACAAAGAGCCCGCACACTGAACACTGAGAGCTAGGGACTCTTGAACGGCCAACTCATCGGACCGTCCTGAAAGCAGCCTACTATCTCTAGGAGTGAGGAGGTTCCTAGCTACTATTGTAGCTGTTGTTGCATCCTTCATCACGGAGTCTTCACCTGTAAGAGGGCCACTAGAAGATAAGAAAGACGGGCGCCATACATTACCTTGACGCGGCACGCCCGTATCACTGCTGAGACTCAAATCTAAGCAAATGTTAGATGGGTTAGCCATTTTCAAAGGTGTTAAAAGAAAAGGGTTGGATGGAGTAAAATCTCAAAGGGCCGTTAAAACAAAATACACCGGAGACGATTTTTACGAATGGGCAATCTTCAAAGTGTGCATGTTGGAGGTAATCGATACCTCTATAAAAAGGAGAGGCGACACGACCACCGATTCAAAAAATTGAAGAGACACCACTCTTCAAATCTTAAAAGCCGAATTTTCCTGCGTAAAGTTCGGCAACGCTCTTCAGACACAATCTCGGCTTTTCAGATAACACGTGCAACTTTGTCAAAGATCTCTGACAAAGTTGAAAACGCGTAGAGGTCATTATCCCAACTACCACACAATTTTTGCCTCTATAAAAAAAGGAGGAACAGGGTTGTTCATTCAGAAATCGAAGAGGCGCTTGCTCAGAAATCAAAGAGGCGTTTGTTCAGAAATCGAAGAGACGCTTGCTCAGAAATCGAAGAAGCGTTTGTTCAGAAATCGAAGAGACGCTTGCTCAAAAATCGAAGAAGCGTTTGTTCAGAAATCAAAGAGGTAACACCGTCCGAACCTTAAAAGCTGGGCCGCTTATTCAAGGATCGAAGAGTCATCATTCTTTGAATTTCAAAAAAAAAAAAAACCGGATTTGCTGGATCAAAACTTGTCAGTACCTTTCACATGTAACCTCAACTTTGCAGACATTACAAGCAACTTTGCCAAAGATTTCTGACAAAGTTGAGAACGCGTGAATCTTACTATTTCAATTACCCAACAGTTGTCGACAATGGTAAAGGAACAGTACCACCACTTGCTATTGGGAAATCCCTATATATGTCGACCTTCATCTTTTATGGCAAGGCAGACCTGCAAAAAAATGCCCAACTCTTCCTCACCTCTGAGGGCGCACTCCCAGCAAAGCCTCTCGAAATACTCAATTTTCTTCTTCCCCAAAGAAGATACCAGATGTCTGGAGTACAGATGAGGCAGGAGGAAATGGTAGAACGAAGCATGTGGAGACAAGCACAACAAATATATGTGCTGATTCATTCGCTGCTTCTTCAAAAGCAAAAGTATCTCATATCATCAAGGGCGAAAGCAAAGGTATCTCATATCATGCTTTTTCCCCGTCTTTTCCTTTACCCTTGTTCTCACCTGCCAAGACAAGGACAGAGAAAGCAATATGTCGAAACCTCCACTCAAACTTGCGCTGCCACCAAGAAGTGATGGTCCATTCAAATGCAAGGCTTGCATTCCACTCCTGTATCAGAGGACAAATACTACAAGAGAATATGCCAAACCTGCATAAGGAAATACCACTTCTGCAAAGGGAGCAAGTAAGGCAAGTGAAAATGATACATCGAAGCATGTGGAGACAAGCACAACAAATGTATGTGCTGATTCATTCGCTGCTTCTTCAAAAGCAAAGGTATCTCATATCATGTTTTCTCCATGTCCTTTCCTTTGTCCTTGTTCTTACTCGCATAGCAAAGTGAAAGAGAGCAATCAGCCGGCACTTGGAGTCAGTCTTCCGATCTGGAACCGACTACCTGGAATCTATTCCCTGGTTGCTTACCTAGCGTTGCTCTCGAGTAGTCATCTTCAACGGTTGATACACTTCCAGAGAAGGGACCACATCTGCTTGGAGAACAGTTAAGACGAGTGACAATGAAACATCAATCTTGTGGATCGTTAGCAAACGCAACAACTGCATCTACTGAGTCATCCTCTAACCCTCTTCAAATATGAATTGGAAAGATTGAACAAAGAAACAGGTCATCACCTCCACCTCGTGCTTGCCTGCCATGTGTCTGAATCCTGAAACCACTCATGGTCTTATTTCCAATTCAAGATCAAGCCTCGATGGCCCTTGAAGAAATTACAAGTCCGATTCAAAATCAAGTGTTCACCACCCTTGAATCAAATTCAACTCCAGATAAAAGGAGTAAGTTCAGACCTTCGGAGGAGACCAAAAGAATCCTCCAGCCCAGTTCAAGATTAAGCCTGTGGAAAATCAACGATTGGAGGAAACCAGAAAATCTTCCAGTCGAACTCAAGATCAAGCCTCGATGGCCCTTGAAGAAATTTCCAGCCCAATTCAAGATCAAGCCTCGACGGCCCTTGGGTTGACATCTACATTAAGGGACTTCAAAACGCATCTTCTACACGTGACAAGCACATGTCTACGACGCGCCTTGAAGTGGGGGCATTTGTAGACATCAAAATTTCGGTGAAATGAATGTTGACCAATAATTAAAATTTCAACTCTCACGTGTCACATAAATTTTACATGTAGCGTGTGACTCAACGAAAAATCGAAATAAATTGGAAAAGTCATCAAATAGGACACGTGTCAATACCTGGCAGAAATGATTTATTTCATCTAATTATTTAAATCCAAAAATCAAGTTTTGGAATTTTATAAATAGGAAGCCAAGGCATTCATTTTGAAAAAGAAGAAAGGAAGAGAAATTTACATTACACCAAAACCTTGAAGCCTTGAAACTCTAAAGCTCTCAAGCAAATCCCGAAGGATCAAGAAAGCACTTTTCGTTCTTCGTCAAATCCTCCTTCAAGATCAAACCCCAACGGCCCTTGAAGAACTCCCACCAACTCAAGATCAAGCCCCGACGGCCCCTTGAAGAAAGTGTTCATCATTCATCATCCGTTCATCCTAAGATCAAGCCCCAACGGCCTTTTGGATCAACAACCTCAACAAACTCATACACCCATTCTTCAAGATCAAGCCCAACGCCCCTTGAAGATCCATTCATCAACTGTTCATCCTTAGATCAAGCCCCGACGGCCCTTTGGATCAACAACTCATCCACAAACCTACACCCTACGAAGATAGAATCAGAGGATCAAATTACAAAGAGATTGTAACCCCAAAATCATTAATACAAAAATATATTTTGTACACGTATTCTTGTTTCTTGTTTCAGGAATTTTTCGTGTTTACAAATTTACAAACAAAAAAACATACGATACATATGCAATTAATCTCTAATATGGGTAGAGTATTATAAAAAAATCCTATGGTACACGTAGATAAACACAATTAATTTTAAATTATCAACAGAATATAATATATATATATATAGGTAGATAAATACAATTATTCATGATACATGTACATTATAATATAAAAAAAAATAAAAAAAGGACAAGTGATATAGGTACATAAAACAAGAAAAGAAAAAAAAAAGGAAAGAAAAATGATATTGAGGGAGGAAACACTAAAGAAAATGCTAATTCGATAGAACTTCAAAAAAAATAATATATATATATATATATATATATATATATATAAAAGAAAAAGAGGCAAAAAAAAAAAAAAAAAAAAAGACGAAGAATCCAAAACACTAATGCAATTTTTTTTGTTTTTTAACCAATCAAATGTATATTCATCATTCTTATGGAAGAGGAGGAGAAGAGGAATATTATGGAAGAAGATTACCCAGCAAAATAACACAGGAAGAGAAAGATATTGTGAGGGAGAAACAAGAAAAGAGAAATTAACGGTTGGGGAAATGAAAAGAAAAAAAGAGATTTCAATCCCTAATCCTATAATTAAGGATAACATTAATCACAAATTAAAAAAACAATAATTACTTAATTAGTCAATTTGAGGGTAAATTTGGCAAGAAAATACAAATAAGCTTAAGTGGATAATAAATCATTGGACCTAACCCAAAATTTAAAACCAAATTGGATGATAACTAATAATGGCTCATAAAATTGGACTCATATTAAGTTTCCCCAAAAAAGAAAGAGGTAGTATACAAACAGATTGCACCGTCCAACAATAACGTTTATTATAATAAATGACTAAACGATTGAAGTACTATTTATTATATATATGAGATATCCTTAGTAGATTCTATCATATCTATTAGACTCTCTATTATCCTATTAGAGTTGTATTGGGATAAGAAATTTACCTTCCCTACTACTATAAAAACATAATGAGATGGAATTAATACACACCTCACAATTACACATCTTTCTCTTCTCTCTCTTTGTGCCGCCAACCAACCCCTCTCTATCCTTTATAATTGTTCA